AAGTTTTTTTTAACTTAAAATAAGCTGTTTTGAGTATTGCCAAACAGCTAAATAAGTCAAAAACCAGCTTTTAAGTCAGTTTGACCAGCTTTTAACCTGAGCCAAACAGGCTCTTAGTCTTGACATACAAATGCTAACCCAAACGAGTTTTCAAAAAGTACAAGTGTTTAAATGGAAAGGATCCTTCAAAAACACAAAATTGCTAGAAACTGAACACACCACTATCAGATCCAAATCCATATTCAGTACTCCTCCTAAGTCAATGTAACATTACAACTACACGACGACTAGGGCAACTGGTTTTTTTTTATGATGTTAACTTGAATTTGTAGAGCACTATGTTGATTAATCTTGTCAGGGAATTTTACTTAAAACTACTTAAAGAAAACTATACTTAGAACGGCTACATGAAAATGAAACTAGCATGCAAATGTAAAATGCTAAAAAAGCTAGGGAACCATACCTTATGCTTGAGAAGAGCTCAGCTTTATCAGTAAACCACTCTGGGATATCGCGAACAATTCGCACATCATCCTTTAGGTAGTTAATAAAATGGTCTACATCAAATATGTCCTCCAATTTCCTGTCAACACAGTTAACTCGTATTAAGAATAATCAAAGTCTTACCAACCTTTTGGAAATTCTCACAACACAATGATATTTAATCTGGAATGTTTTTTTTCCAAGAAGAAACTCTGATCCAACAACCAAAAACCTCAATTTTGATTTCTATGCATTTTAACTAAAATCTCAGTAAAGTGCAACATTAAAAATTAACATCCACCCTTATGAGCAAAGAACAGCTGCTTCAGTTAAGTTTCCCTTACGTTTGGTCTTTCCATATCTGGTCTTGCTTTAATACTGGCAAAATAAGGGTGGCATTCATAATTTTGGCCACTGCAACAGCATTGCATATCTGCAAGGAAATGCATGACTAATTAAAGTGGTAAAAATCCTTTGAAAACACAAAAGAATTCATAGATATGCAGACAATTTAGGAAATACAATAGATAGTTCTCATTCATTAACTGACATCAAAACAAGAAATAACTAAAAGTTACAGACACAAATATAAAAAGATGGACGACAAGCATAGCAGATGACATAAAACATACAGCGATCCTTTGCTGGTTTAAGCCACCCTCAGCATGTATGAATATATAACCGTTTGTGGAGTTCTCAGGCGGAATATCTGCAAAGCACCAAGCTATATCACTATTTTGCAAAATAGGAAGTAAACGGTGAAGAGATCAGTTATTCAATTTGGATGAAGATTCCAACAAGCTCGAGAGGTTTGTAGCTGTCAATGATACATCTAACCCAAAGAGGTTTGATGAATAACTTTTGGCAAACAAGGGAGTATCAGGCAGAAACATGTTACACCATTTTCTCCACTTCTTAAGTAATGATACGAGTTTCATGAATGGGAAGACCGGCTTGGTTTCCCACTTCTCAATGACACATGAGACGTATACCAAAACCTATTCACAGAGTTCCACAGCTCTGTATCAAGGGTGAACTTCTAAATTACTCTATTCTAGCTAGCTGTAATTCATTAAAAAAAAGTTAACGTAGGAAAACAACCAACATTTCCAGCCTTCAGAATGTTAAGTTCTTAAAACAACATTGTAAGAAGCCGGTAAAACAGTGTAGATAGATTCCTTATATCAAAGAAAACACAGATAACTTCAAAAATTATAAAAATTACGTAAACAAAAAGAGGAAAAGAGAAATCAAAATATTAATGGAAGCCTTCAGAAAGATATTAAATGCTTACTTATCAAAATGATAGACAACAAATGCTTAAAAAGATAATCATTATAGCTATAATAGATAATTAGCCAAGAACACAAGTAAATTACATGGTCTTTTAAATTTGGGCTTTCTGTGTTAGTTGTTTCAGGGGACTGTAGAATGTTGCCCAACCTAGGTTCCTGAACATTAATGAACAAAGATAGACTGAAGAAGCTGTCATGCACAATTATTGCACTTATGCTCCTCGAAGGGGATCAGAAACCCGAATACCAGAACAACAAAGAAGCTCTGATATGGTTGAAAGAATATAACAAATTTGCAAGAGCAGTGCTAGAATACCTTTCAGAGAGTGATGCTAGACAATTCCCCGTTTCATTGATGTGAAAGGGAAAATGAAAAGCTCACCTCTGACTGCAGTAAAATCAGAAGTATTCTGCATTTTGTGCAACCACTAATATTCAGATTTGAGCACAGAATGGTTTGTGAAAAAGCTAATGCTGATAAGGCCATGACACAAGGAGACCATTGGGTAGAAATTTTAAGATGTTGGACCATTTACCATGATGGAAGGAAGGGAACGGAGGAGTACCTCTTGTTTGAAGGCAAAAAAATAGTTGTAACTACGGAATTCGAGATCCAGCATTGGAGGGAGGGATACATATCTTGTTAACCAAGAAATCTCCAAATGCTAGTAGCTGCATGGTACGAAACTTGGTGATAATGGGCCTGCCCCTCCCTCTACTTTTCTCCTTTGCGAAGAGGGATATTGTTATAAGCATTAGACTATATGTGAGTTTTAAGAGGAAGGATCTATCAAAGAGTTATTAAGTCCCTGTCTTTTCAACAGGAAGTTAACACTCGTATTTGAAACCTCACTTACCAACCAAAAGAGGAATGCTTGACGTATGCACATATCACTCCAACAGTCATACCAACCAATATTTTAACACTTAGCTCTCTATCAAATCCCTGAATGTTTGAGGATCTTTTACTTATTTCTACTCTTCCAGTTTGATAAGTTCCTAAATCACTCCATGAGCATTAGAAGAAGAATCATTCAAGAGTCTAATCCAATTGAACTAATAAATCAAATTATCAACAACAAAGATGAATTTGTAACTTAAATTTAACTACTAACAACAACATTCTTCAATTGCATAGGATAATACAACATGCTATTTCTGAACAAAGTTTTTAAGGTTGCCGGCCTTGTTCTTTTATCATTTCAGTAGTTAGATGACATTTCTGTTCAAACACCAGAGAGTGCCTGCCACACTACCCTGCACTCACTTAAATGTCAGGCTTCAATCCGTCACATGGTTCATCCAATATATTGTTTTATATTTGTATCTATAGAAGTCATTTTTCAGCGTCTATTAGAGGGGCAACGGATACAATCCATTCGAAGGGGGAGCAGAGCAGCAGACCGACAAAGCTGGGGGAAGAGATATGGATTGCACCGAAAGCAATGCCCCTAGCACCTAAGTTCCACAGTCTGATCTCAGCAGCGCTACTATTTGAAGATGGATGGCGCCAAGCAGAAGCATTTTTTCCATTAGCCAAGGAAAGAAGTAGCTAAGGAATATCACTATCGTGGAAAAGAAAATACTAAACTTTTTTACACGGTTACCTCGAGGAAGAGGGGAGAAGATGAGTTAAATTCTCTATAATCGTGAACTTGACGGAGTATATTGAACCAAATTGCCCCACCAGAAGACATGACAAGGCAAATGTATAAATATAATTTCAAGGAGCATAGAAATACCTGACATCAGTCCCTCACGTCGCTCCGCACAAGGCTTCCACGAGGTTGTTGATGAATAAGGATTCTCCCACAAGGAAGAAGGTTCTTTCACCTAATAAAATTAGAAAGATTGGACGTTTGACTACAATGATGGTAGTGATTATGTAATATGATGCAGTAGCAGACAAAAAAGTAGTCTTTCAAGAACATACCGGTGGACACTGAAGAGTTATACCATCCTTTTTGCACAAATATGGAGCATTCTACAGAGAAAAAAAGCGTAAAAAGTGTTTTAAACGCTGAAATTGAGTCAAAGAACATCAAATAGGGAAATACATCAAACGTTCTTTCAATAATAGTTTGTTAAACCAAATCAAAAAGCCAATGTAGCTCACAAAACAATAATAACCATAAATGAAATCCTTTATATGAAGAAAGTCGAAGAACAAAGATGCTTACACGGCCCACAATTTGATTGATATCAGAGATATGTTAAAGCAAACTTAAGCAATATGGCATGTCAGTATCAATATAAGAACAACTCTAAAAGATTGGCTAGCATTTACCAAATTACATGGCATTACTTAATTACGCTAGCAGCCGAAAGACATACATTTCTATTCTAGTAAACATATAACGGAGTTAAAATCTTAACTTGATCAATAATCATCAAAAGGACTACTTGTACTTATCTCTAGTTGATTCTCATCTTTTCTAGTAAACACTATCTGAAAGTCAAGGTCCTGACTTGACCAATAGTTATCAAAAGCACTTCCTAAATTACTTCTAGTTTCTTCAATTTGACCAATCTATTCATTCATTCCAGCATTGACAAATATTTTATCATCCGAGTCAAATCACATGTTCTCTTAAAATAACTTTCCCCAAATCCCACACTTTTTCCTACCGGGACTAAGAGAGCATAGTAGAAACATGTAAGGCTTAATAATCTCAACTAGTACATACCAGCTTCAAACTAATTAGAACCGCAAAATCTTTTGATAAACTAGAAATATCGCTTCCAGTGAGCAAATTGAGATGTGATACATACAAATGTTTATGTGTGCGTTTTAAGATCAATAAAATGAAGCCTTACCAAACGATGTACGACGGACGAAATCAGGACAACTAGTGAAAGTATGAGAACAACAAGCAGAAATAGCGAGATCTTGAACTTGTGAGGGTGAGACCTCGATTCATCAGGGAAGAAGAAAGGGAAAATAGGTTGAAGATGCGAAGAGAGGAATGAACGAAACCGATCTCGAGGATACCGACCACGATAATCATCATCGTCATCATCAACGTTAGGAGCACTGTCAGGAACCAAAGGAGATGAGGAAGCGGTGACGTCGTCTCGCTTCCTAGGTGACGCTGTAACTCGGTTTCCGATCGAGCTTGAGTGGCGTAGCTCCGCCATTGCTCGCTTCGGACTGAACGCCAGTTTGCTTCACCGTACTCCGGCGAGTAGTTAACGTTGACGGGGTAAGTGAGAATTTTCTAGAATTTCGGCTCCGGCAACGGCTATATTATCAGTCAGTGTGTAAAAGAGTGCTGAGTTTCCAGATCGGTGATCTCTTGACTTACCTTATTAAAAAATAGTACATTTTGACGGGTAAATGTTTTACTTAGAGCCCCTCATATTTTCAAATGTGAGATCTAACCCCTTCAATATGACTAATGTTTTTTTTCAACCTCAAGAAAAATAAAAATAGTATGAGCATTTCATTCAATAATTCCGATAAAAAACAAAATTAATCAGTTCATAATTTTATACTCAATTTAGTTTTTAATCCAGCTAATTAAATGAAATATTATGAATCTATTTAAATATATTCTAAAAAAAAATTTAACAAACTAACACATATCAGTTTAAAAGTTAAATAACTTAAATACATAATTTCTTTATGAAACTCATTCATTTTCTACATTGATCAAATTTGAATCGAAAGCTCTTGAACTCATTTTAAAATAGATATACAATCAATGATGATATAAACAAACAACTTCAATTAAGATATCACATTGTCAATTTTATTTTTACCTTTTGCTAAAATATCTCTAAATCATTTTAGTTTTACATACTTCCTTCGTTTAGAAAAGAATGACCTCCTTTTCTTTCCTTTTTAGTCTGTTTTAAAAAGAATGACATTTTTCTTTTTTTGGTAATAATTTTTCACGTGACATGTTTAAGACCACGAGATTAAAGGACAATTTTATAAATTTGACATAACTTTAATTTAGGACCACATAATCAAAAATCTTCTTTATTTTGTTAAACTCCGAGCCAAGTCAAACTAGGTCATTCTTTGTGAAAAGAAGAAAGTATAATGAAGCAATATAAATTAATTTCTGATGAAATAAAATTTGGACATTAAAATCTACATATTTTATTTCGACTATAAAAATATTTTAGAAAATAAAATCAGCTTCAAGTCGTATATTTTGTTGGTGTATGTGTTGACAAATTGAACCTTATGATATTTTAATTTAAATATTAAGGTGTCCGTATGATACAAATTAATTCCATAAGAAAGGACATGAAAAATAAATTCATCGATTCACACGTCAAAAATATCACTTCATGATTGCAAGATATTTTAAGTGGAGAAAATATGACCCCGCACTATGGGTGAGTTTTAAGAATGGCAATGGAGCATGACGGGTTTAAGGTTGTACGAGAAGGTGATATAAAATGGGTTGAATTGTTTTTTTAAAAAAAAATTAAATAGGATAGGATGGTTTGGGATATATATGATTTTATGTGGGTTTAAATTTAATTTTAATTTTTATATTAATAAAATTGTTGGATATTATTTATTAAGATAACTGCTTTAAAATTATTAAAATATTCATGACATTAAATAAAAATAGCTCAATAAAAAATAATATACTTTCTTTAGTTAATTGATCTTTTTTAAAAAAATTGAAAGTTGTTATCCTATTAAATTAATATAATTTAATTAAAAAATGAATTTATTTTTATTATTCAAACTCAACTAAAAAAAGTAAATATTAAAAAAACTATACAAGCAGGTTCACAGGGGCAGGTTTATGCCACACGGGTAAGGCGAGTTGAAAATGAAAAAAGTTGTTATGCGGGTTGGGTAAAATGGATTTAAAAACTTATGAGTTAAACTCAACCCGCTCCGCTCCCGCTGCATACTGTCCCATCGTTATCTCTCTGTGAGTTTCGTGTTGATTGAGTGTTTATTTCATTAAAAATTTTGCATGGATAAAATAACTATGAGCCTGTTTGGCTCGGCTTAAAAGCTGGTCAAACTGACTTAAAAGCTGGTTTTTGACTTATTTAGTTGTTTGGCAATCCTCAAAATAACTTATTTTAAGTTAAAAAAAAACTTATTTTAAGCCAAAAGTTAAAAGTTGGGGTAGGAGTGCTTTTTTTTCCAGCTTATAAGTTGTTTTAAGTTGACCACATTTTTATCTTTTTATCCTTAATATTTTTATACAATCTCAAAATTACCCACATAACCCTAACATCTCTTTCTTCTATTTTTCCCTTTTCACGTGTGGATGATAGACAATTACTATTACTAATAAATGAAAATAAAATAAATCTTAAATCTTTCAACTGATCTATTCAAATTATAATATATTAAAATGTAAAATAAGTTGCACATATAATTTAAATAAAAATTTATATTCCTCTTATAAATAATTTATGATAATAAAGAAATATATTAATGATAGACTATTATTATTACCTATGGATGAAACTAAAATAAAATCTTAAATCGTTCTTTGATCTATTCAAATTATATATCTTTAAAATCTATAATAAGTTTATATTCCTCTTATAAATAATTTGTGATGAGAATGAAATATGTGAATGATAGCAAAATATAATTAATTATAGCTGTAAAATATAAATTAATTAACTTTTATTATGTTAACAACTTTTAAGGGTATTTCAGACATTTTGATTTAAAAAGCTGTTTATCAGCACTTATTTGTCAAACACATCAACAACCTTTTTTTAACTTCAACACTTTTATCCAAACGCATAACTGCTTATTTTAAAAATAAGTTTCAGCACTTTCAAAAGTACTTTTTTAAAACTGTTTTTATTAAGCCCATCCAAACGGGCCCTATGTAAATGGGTTAAATTGGTGAAAATCTTAAAGAAATTGAGTATTTAAAATAAGTAGTGAGATATTTAATTTTTACATTGATATATGTTATTTTGTTAAAATTAAGAATATATTTATATCATAGTATATTGTAAAAAGTATATTTGAATCCAAACTATAACGAAGGATATATTTTAAATTGTTTCCAACAATATAGTAATATATTTGACTATTTCCTGTAGATACCAATGATTGTATAATTATGGAAATTAAATATTATTTACTTTAATTGGAATTTGAAAAATTGAAATTATCTTTTATTGTGTTCTTATAGTGTGAATATTATAAATTTAAATGAACCTTTTCTAAGTATGGCTAAATATTAATTTTAAAAAAATATATTTTTAAAAGAGTGAATAATTTACATGGGCAAAAAAATTCTAGTATTTATAAAATTTAAAGAAATACTTGTTATGTACTAGCAAAATATATTGCTAACTTGTTCATTTGTCTTAAATCTTCCATATCTGCTACTCTAATATCTCTGCAGTTTGAGTAGATAATTGTCTGATCTCTATTGTAATATATCCAAATTGCATTTTCGTTTTTAAAACAAAACAAAATATTTGAATTGCAGAATAGATCATAATTATTGTGCAATTAACTCTTCAAATTTCAAATTTATCAACCACTCGGAAGAAAATGTAGAAATCAAAATGAAAGTAAACCACACAATTAAATTTGTCCTATAAATGAATCATTACTGGGATTTTTTTTCTTTTTATAAGGTAATTAATGTGATTTAACTCAATATAGATAAAATTGTGTGAAAAGATATGAACTTATTTATTTGTTTTTTGTTAATTGTTGTCATTGAAGGAGAAAGAAATCTTACATATTTAGTTTGTTGGTAAATTTTTATTAAACTAACCTTCAGATAACATAAATATTTATATCATTATTTTTAGAATAGCTTTATGCTAGTGTATTATATTTTTTATTATGAACTTTTGCTTATTTGGTTTAAGATTTAGATGATTTTGATAGTTTTCATAACTTGTGATTTTTTTAATCTTTATTAGAAAAATACAACTTAAAAAATCAAAATTGCATATCAAAACAAAACTTTAACTTCATATAATATGATTTCAAATCATAATTTCATCTCTCGTGACCAAACACGTCCTAAAAAACAGTAACACAAAAAGTACAAATGTACTCCCAAACTATCATAAATGCTATACAGATATTCTTTGTTATACTTTAAGGTTATATACATTCTTGCCGTCAGTCTTTTGAATTGTGTATAACCTTAAGGTTAACGGATGGACATGTGAAATCATCTAAATAACTTTATCCATGTTATAAAATCAAGCTCATAAGAATAGAAGAAGACAAGAGAAGTAGATAGAAGAAGAAGAATTTTCTTCTTATTCAAGTGTGTATTACAATGGTGAATGATATCTCTATTTATAGGTAGAGAAATCAACCAAAAGGTCACCATGTTTAATGTCACATTAGTAGATACATTTCTATTCCAAAAAGATTCATCACCTTGGGAATACATATCCATGATAAGGATAAGTTTATGATAAGTTTAATGGACAATCCACTTAATTCAATGTATTTATAACACTCCCCCTTGGATGTCCATAGATAATGTGCCTCGTTAAAACCTTACTAGGAAAAACCCTTTGGGAAAAAATTCTAGTGAAGGAAAAAAAGTACACATATCTTTTGATATGCACTATTTGTTGCATCATTAAAAACCTTGCTAGGAAAACCCAGTGGAAAAAAACCTCGGTCAAGGGAAAAAGAGTGCAACGCGTATTATACTCCCCTGATTAAAACATCACTTAATTTATTGTGATGATGTCTCCAATCTTCGTACGTTGTGGTTGGTATATTATTTTTCAAAGAAAAATCATACATTTCTTGAATATGGTGTGTCATTTATCTCAACCAGACGCACTTTTGACTTTCGTGGAGGACTTTTATTTCTGCATAGCAACATTTACTTCATTGATCGCCAGGATATTATTGTGCCTCCACATGCAAACACATAGCGTGCTTGAGATAGAGCTTTATGCGAATTAGATAAATATTCTGCATCTGCGTAACCAATCAATTTTGTATTGAATTCCTCGGAATAGAATAAACCCATAATTATGGTCCTTCGAGGATATTCAATCATGTGCTCAACACCATTTCAATGTCCTTTTATCGGGGAGAAACTGAATCTTGCCAATAAATTTACTGCAAAACAAATATCTGGTCAAATATTGTTAGTAAGATCTACTAGTGCCCTGATTGCACCAAGATAGAGTTTCATCACCAAGAAACTCTTCATTCTTCTTTTGAGATCAAACTGAATCATCATTTATGTCAAGTGATCTCATAATCATTGGGGTACTTAATGAATGCGATTTATTCATATAAAATTGCATCAAAAATTTTCGATGTACGTGCACTGTTAGACATATATTTCATTTGTCAAATTAT